GAAGAGGGAATTTTTCAATGAAGGGCATGAACTTTTCGGGCAATAAATAGAAATGTTTCGTGACATCGAAAAGTGTGCCGTAGTCAATCACTGATTGAATATCATAACAGCGACCAACACCCACGAAATTTTTCAATGCAATTCTTTCAAAATTAATTTTCCTTGAAACATTTATACGACTGACAACATCTGGATAGTCACCAGAATCCTTTATTATATTGTAAAATATTTCACCAGATTCGTAACTCAAATTGCTGCTAAACATTTCCTGCCAAGTGTTGAATTTTCGACCGTCACGAGATGTTGACATCGAAGCAATGATCAGAGACTGATAAGCATTTCCCATAATGAACGTCATAAGAACACAAAGTTGAAGCAAAAGCTTTTGAATTCGTCGAGAATTTCTGAATGGAATCGATTGTCCCAAGAAGTTTGCAATCACTCCGAAGATGAAGAAGAATGGCGAGTTGCTTCTTAAATAGTTGTAAGAACGGGTGAGAAGTTTCCAGAATATGCTGCAAACGACAATTGAAGTGATCATAAACGTCCATGAAAGTCCATCGAATGGCGTCAAAATGAAGTGCAGAAATGTCAATCTTTGTGGCTTTGGAATCAACGCACAATATCCGTTCTCGTCATGAGTGTAAATCCACTTCTTCCACTCTTTTAAATCCATGATTGTCGAAAGGGAAAATGCCGCATTGTTTGTGCCATAAAAGTACTTTTGAACTTTGAGTGCAGCTTGAGGATCCGCAGGGTCAAGTATTGTAGTGAATTTCACGGTTCCATTGTACTTCTTCAGTATCATGTTCATAACTCTGAAGTTAATTCCATCAACTTTTCTACCTCTAATCATGCACCTCGAATATTCTTTTAAGAATAGCACTGGAAATTGATAACTCTGAAAATTTTTCAATTTATCAGGGAAAACCATTGAAAATGTCTCGATGTCTTCATCAGCAATCCAGTAATTTCTTTTCGTGAGCATGTTGGATGAATAGGCATTCACTGTTTCAGAAATTCCCAAAATTAAGTGATTAATAAATCCAAAATAATTTAGAGCCCCGACAAATTCGTTTAGTAATTTGGGGCTTATCTTTGGAGTGATAATGACAAACTTAATAGAAACTTGCCAGGTGATCTTTTCAAGAATGTCAAATAATGTACTTCTCAATAAAGTCTGCCATGAAACACAAAAATTAATTAACATTTCTGCATTCATTTACTATTGAAACTTTGAATACTCACGGAATCGGTCAGGTCAGTGACAATTATAATGAAAGATGCAGCGTAAATCTGAGGAAATTGAACCTTCGGTTGACTTTCATCAAACAAATCAAAAGTGAGAATCGGATTGTCGCGATTAACTTTCAGCAACTCTTCGCGAATATTTTCAAAGGTATCGTTTTGATGTTGAAGTTCCAATCGAATTAAAACCACGTCATAATTGTGAGTTTGATCTTGTTTGTTGTTCTCGTTGACGAGAAAGCTGATGTATTTAGGGATTGTGAGATTGCCAGAAGTTTCCGCTTTTAGGATGGAAATTGCAGCGAAACTGCAGCGAAATTGTAGGAAAACGCAACACAAAACAAATTTTCTTAACATTTTCATGATTTTTATTAAAATTAATTCCACAAGTGAACTTTAAGTTTTCGACCTGTCACAATTGAAAGTCGAATTGATATTGAAAAATGAAGAAAGACGACACCAAGCCAAGCTTTAAAGCTTCTATTATTTAATTATTTCTAATACTACGCCTTACAACTCTGTCAATCGACCCCGATAGGCACTTACAATTCATTTTTTAATTAAAACTTTAATCAATAATCATTCTTCAACTTATTAGCGATGTTTTGAACAACTCACAATGACCATCGATACAATGAAACGAATAAGTCATTTGAAGATTCATTTCACGAATTCCACAAGACGATTGTCACATTCTGGTGATTGGATGAAGGAAGAATCCATCAGAATCAACATGTCAGGAGGCATGACCCGTGTACAATCAACTGAATCCTCTCATAGACAACAATTATGGGTCATTAATTAACTTTTTTATCTTCCGTTGTGGCAATTTCACAGGCGTGAAAGTATCTCAACAAGATTAATTATTCATTGTGTACCATATGGTGGCTGAAAGAAACGGTTGAGTTGCTTGTTGAAGGAAAAGAAATTCATCACTGAGAGAAACGAAAAGTTGCCAGTGATGGATTGATGTGAGCAGTGAGAACGCGGGTGTCATCATCATCATTACTGACAATGACGACACACTGAGAACGTTCAGAGAATTAAAGTCGTCGTTCCTGAAGTCTAAATTTCTCATCTTATTTGTTTCGAGCTGGTTAAAGCACTCGAAATGTCAATTTGATCGCAATTACATTCACATTCCCCTCCCCATCGTAACATTCAACAAATTGATTGATCTTTGTTTGAGTCTCGTACATCTGTTTACGATTTGTAATATTCACATGTTTGAACAAGAAAATTGTAAACAAATTGTTGTTGAACTCTTTGACGGGAACTTCTTCAGCATAAATCGAGAACAGAAGCATAATGAACGCTTAACTGAAAAGAAACATTAAACATGAACTGCACTCAATTCAAAAATAGTTTGAAATTATCGATTAAACAGATCATTTAAATGCACTTCAGGTTAATGACTTCACCTTTGGAATTTTTGTTTTCCTTTCGACTTTTGAATGGGCGATGATGAAGCGACTTCAATTTCAGTGAAACATTTTGGGTGGAAGTTATTGGAAAGTAATAAGATTAAGCGAAAATTGGCAAAAACGATGAGCTCAGCGATCCATCGCGCCTTTTCCGGTATTTTCTGCCTTCCATTGTTTCAACTTTTGCCATAACCAGAAGAAAGGTTTCCGTTTGCCTTTCTTCCTTTCATTTCTTCTCCTGTCTTGACGTGTCAAAAGGAAATTACAAATTTTTTCTTATTTGTCTACAAGATTCCTTTAAAGCACAATCGGAATTTTAAGGTAATGATGGTATCAAGTCATCATTCTAAATCTTTTCTCGACCTTGTAAACAACATTCAAGTGGAAGAATAAATTTTCATGTAATTTACACACCCAAAATATCATTCTGTCACTCATCTGCGACAGAACATCAGCAACTGTAGAGAAAAAATATCCTTAATCGAATAAGAATTTCTAGCTCTTATCTCTCTCATGAATAATTCAAATTTTGGTAAAATGCTTGAAGCATTTACTAAATGTTTTGATGGCTTGTTGGAAATTACAATTTTGCTTATAGAAAAAATTTCTCGGAAAATCTCATTTTAATATCAACTTGATGTGTTTGACAAGGAAACATTCATAAAAGACGAAGATGATAAGAAACCTTCAAAGGTGTTTCATAACTTAAGCGTCGAGCTAAAAAAAAAACTTTGATAAAAATAACTTCAGAATAATTTTAGACCTGAATTTGTCTATCTGGTTGAATTGATTTTTTTATTGTGTTTTCCTTTCCATAAGCAGAAGAAAACAAAAGCTAAATAAAGAAATTCTTTTTCGATGTTGAAATATCTAAATATCTATCTACATAAGTACTACGACGATAAAAATAACATCGTCGTAGTAAAACAAGATTATTACAAAGCATATGCGCAATGACGTGGAATAACAATCAAAGATCTTGTTTAAGGTTTCCTACACAATCTTCACCCTCTTTTAAAACATCTTCAAAACAAGTGACTTCCTTTGAAAAATGGGGAATAAATTATGAGACAACTGGGAATTTGAATTTCACACTTTTTCTTTAATGCAATTTAGATATGGAATATGAAGGGTGCGATGGCGATGATAAAACGACAGCGGCTTGTGTTTAGAATAAATTCACGAGAAAGTAATTTTCACATCAACATTTTTTGTATAATCCAATCAAATTCATTAGCATAATTGCGTGACGTAGTTAAAAATTTAGGGCTCAAATATTTCCTTAAATTTAATTGAGGTTTGATAATTTATCAAGAGCCTTTTTTTTCTAAACATTCATAAAGCGCTTATGTTTAAAAATATTCTCGCTTTTCCTTTTTTTCTTGTTTTACTACCTCGAAAGCATTTGATGCACGAGCATAAATATGAGCGTAATGAAGGTCGTTTGGGTGATAGAAAAAAACATGAATCCTTTGCTTATATCCGCCTTTTTTAAGCACGCGCTCATATGACAATGTTGACATAGAAGCTTTTTTTCACACGAGTCCGGCTGTAGCATTACTTTGCATAATATGTCACAAAATCATTGTCTTCATGACAAATGAAAACAATAATTCCCATTTTATGTTCACGAAGGATATTACAATAGAAGCCAATAACAGTGAAAATCCATTAAAATCGTTTGAGAAGCGAGACGATTGCAGTCATGTTTATGTTGTGAAAAAAGGATTTCACGTTGAGCTCTACAGTTCCACGCAATGAATATCGATGATGCGGAATCATGGAGAGTTTCTAAAAGTGTTTTCTTCTCATATATTTAGTTCTTGAGAGATTTGACAATCGAACCCAAACACGAAATACACAACAATCCTAAAATATGCCCTCAGAAGCTTATGTCGAAATAAAACGAAAGTTTCTTCTCCTTTCACAGATTCCATCTCAGCGTATCTAATGGAAATTTATGTTCCAATTACTGAATCAATATCAATTGATATCGAATATTTTACGATTTCTTATTTTTGAGTAAGTCGAATCCAAATCTCTGATAAGAAAACGATAAGAAGGAATGAGAAATCTCATTATGATTCCCATCTTTGAAAAGCAGATGCCTTAATGTAATATAATATTTAGTTTATCTCCTTCCTTCCTACCTTCAAATTTTTACGAGGAAGAACTTCATGCGATTCAACTTTCTTGATTTATTACAAACGAAATGAACATGTTAAAAAAAGAAATGTCGGGCACTTCATTTTCCTGACACACATAAAGAAGGCCATAAAGTGCTGGTGAATATGAAATGAAAGCAAAGCAATAGCGAACTGAAAATAATTTCGTGAATCTTTTAACGTTTTATGAGTCTTTGCTTCTTTCCGTCCTTAACATAAAACATTATTACATTTCATAACAAAAACGAAGAAGAAGAATGAAGTTTGCTGTGTAACTGTGTTCAAAAACAGCAAAAATCTAATTAATTTCAAGTGTTGATGATGAGTGTTTTTACGGCTGTGCCTTTAATCAGACAAAAGAATGATTTACAAGCTTAAATTACGAAAATATTTGTCAACGTCTCAAAACTTTCAAGCCAACCAACCATTCGCAACTAGTTGTGGAATAATGTCACATGAACAGTTATTTATGAGATGGAAGCAACACGAAATAAAGGAAATGGAAAATTCTCTTTCAATAAATTATTTTCATATTCTTTTCATGAAAAATATTTTCACTGATCGATAAATTCAAAGGTTCGGGTTTAATATTTTTTTATTTGAGAATTTATGTTCACGAATTTGAAAGTAAAATTAAAAAGATTTTTTTTCTTTCGATTTGATTGTGTTCGTGTGACCTTCATCACATTCGGACGATGCCTTTATCCATTGATCGAAAACTGATGCAAGGAAATGAACCTTTTGATATTTACAATCCAATTTTCCTCTGTTTTCTCGATTGAATAACTGGTTTTATTCGAGTTTTTCTAACTTTTCTCCCATCCGCAGGGCATAAAAAATTTATTTTTATGTCGGATCATTTTTCTCCTTTCTTCGGTATCTAAGGACTGACTGTTTGTTGTTCAGCACATCTTTGAAGGGGATATTAAAGAAAAAAGATGTGAAAATATTTCTTTTTCTTTTCTACTGATTAAGAAAGTCCTTCGCTTAACTCTATTAAGAAGGGAGAGGAAAAAAAACTCTTGTCACCAGTTAATTAAAGAATGAGTATGAACGAAAGTATGAAGTAAATAGTGAAACAACACATGACATACCTAAATATAAAGAGAAGAATATGATTCTCATTTCTACTTCTTTTTCATTAGATATTCAAAGGGGAAAAAACAATGAACACAGAAATTGATGATGTTTGATTAAGATTTATCTTTGTCACGTGTTGAAGCTTCAGAAAAAAACTATCGTCAGACATCAATTAGTTTGTAATTGTTAAACAAACATCTGAAGAATCAAAAGAAACATTCAACACTAAAATGTTTTTATTCCACAACTCGTTGAAAATCCTTTTCCGCTTCAAGAATCGTTCCAAGAAAATTACTCATGAATAAAAATCTTTCTCTTAATTCTTTAGAACGAGAAAGTTTCAAATTTTTGTTATAAATTGATACTCGAGTCGAGTGTTTCACCAGTCGTAGCAATATTCTTCTTAAAAATAATGGAGTAAACAGAGCTTATCTAATTTCCTTTGCTTTCAAGGATAAATAAACTCTTTCATATTGAACAGAATAAAAAAAAAAGCTTCTCTTGTTTTTTGTTCCATCTTGACTAAATACATAAATTAAAAAGTCTGTTACCGAAAGTCGGCCCCAACAATAAATATCGTGCAAAAGCCCGATATTTAAAACTCCGGCAGTTATAGAATTTCTAGACGAACAGTATTAGTAAAAATCTAACTCCAATAAGGGGCCACTTTGTATAATGTTTCCACCTTCGATATTCCAGAAACTTTTCACACAAAGTGGCCCCTTATTGGAGTTAGATTTTTACTAATACTGTTCGTCTAGAAATTCTATAACTGCCGGAGTTTTAAATATCGGGCTTTTGCACGATATTTATTGTTGGGGCCGACTTTCGGTAACNATAAACTCTTTCATATTGAACATAATAAAAAAAAAAGAAGCTTCTCTTGTTTTTTGTTCCTTCTTGACTAAATACATAAATTAAAAAGTTCTAAAGCAAAACAATTTTATTAAATTAAGCATCAAAGTAAGTTCAATAATACAAACTCGGGAAAATCTTTCGTTCTCTTTATAATTGAACGAAATTCTCTTCATTTTCCTCGACGTTTTCTCTCTTTTAATGTTTTTAACTCTCAATTTTATGTTCATCAAAGAAAACTCAGCTAAAGTTTAAGATTTGTTCATTTGATATTAACTGATCTTTAAAACTAAATGAAAACATTCTGCTTCCTTCCATCACAAATGTAACTTAAATCCCTTGAATAAAATCAAAGTTTCATTACGCAAAACACTGAATAGAATTTACGAATTAAATATTTATTAATATTTCTGATGATTGCGCATTGAAGGCAAAAAGAAAATTCTTTTACGTTTACACAATCAGATAAAAGATTCAGAAACAAAAATTCTTTAAAGCTTCACTGTTCTTTTTGAATAATTTATCAATTGGACGCAAGGAAAAAAGTTTCCCGAAACAATCTTCAAAGTTTTCTTTTCTCATTTAAGGAATTTTTTCTGCAGCTTTCGGCACTTCACGCTGTCAAAAGGAGAATCGACAAAGTATTATGTCTCGCATTTTTTTTGACGAACAAAAACGCAGAAATTATACAAAAATAATTTAATTTCAGATAAGGACTTCTACAGTTCTACTTAGCGATGGATCTTTGAAATCCAAGGAAAAGCAATTATTTATTCTCCTTTGTAAATGACAAATAAAACCGCAAATTGTGTACTTTAATCAAAAGCGATCGTAAGATTCGATGAAAACATTCAACATAGCCACAGACAAATTGTGAGGTTTATGTCTGAAGAGTTTCAATCCATCCAATATGTCCTTTCTTTTGTTTGACTTAATTAATTCTTTCAAGCTTTTAAATGACTTTAAAAAGTCTTTGAAAGTTTTGCTTTTCAATGAAATCTTTTATTGTTAGGATAACAACGAAAAACTTCTTATACCGGAATTGAATTTTCATGAATACAAAAGAAATTCTGACGTCATCAGAATATTGTTTCGTGGAGTTATGATGTGAAAAATGTTAGCACGCTCAGTGAATTCTTAAAATATTAGTCTGTAAATCAACATGCTGTAACATTGTTACATGTTCTCTCCCCAGACTTTTTGAATAACGATCGATAAATTTAGTTTCAATACACTGTGAGTTGTGTGTAAGCTTTTGATAATAAATTATTCGATTGAGCTCAACTGAGATCTTCATTAAATTGTGGTTTAACAAATTTATAGATGTTCAATGAAAGAATTTGTTTCTTTTTTCTGTTTATTCTCTTTAGGGATACCGACAAAAGAATAAAAAAATTGATGGAAAGGGAACCTAAATAGGGAATGAAGTCTGCATTCTAAACCTGTAACTTACACTTTTCTTATGGTAATCTCTTTAGCTAGTTGTGGATTTTGTTTCTCAAATGATTTATTGATTTAATCTAGGATTTGTTGATGTTGAATAACTTGAGAATAATTTAAAACATTGTGTTAAGTTTAATCCCAACTATTCTAAGATGTTCATGTACATAATTCAAAAGATTGAGAAGATTTGAATTTTAAATTTAATAAAAGGTTTTCTGCATTGTGTGAAACCCAAAAAGTAATAAAATGTAAAAGCGATTTATTTAATCTGAAGAACTTATTTAAGATTTTGCAATGCTGTAGTCATAATTATCCAAAAAAATTATTAGTTTTATTATCAACATATTTAAGAGGAAAATAAGATCATGAAAGAAATGCAACAATCATCACTCTAAGTACAATTTATTGATCAAAATAAATGAAATTTTTATATCC